GATGTACTCCATTGGGTCATAATACAGTATCCTTTATATATATTACTGGATTTGATTAGCTAACATTTAAAGATTTTTGTATCTGTATTTAGAGGGATATTGGTATGTAATTTTCTTACAAGGTCTTTGTCTGGTTTTGGTATCAGGCTAAAAACTGGACTTAAAATATGAGTTGGAAATGCTTCTACCACTTCTGTTTTCTGGGAGAGTTTGTATAGAATTGGTTTTATTTCTTCCTTAAATAATTGGTACAATTCACTAGTGAATCTTTTTGAGTCTGGAGCATTGTATGTGTGTGTGTGTGGGGGAAAGGTTTTAAATTACAAATTCAATTTTATTAATCGATGTAGGACTATTCAGATTAACTGCTCTATTTCTTCTTGAGTAAGCTTTGGCATGTTATGACCATCATAGAATTTGTCCATTTCATTAAGTCTCTTTTGCCTTTTAATCTCTCTAAGGTTTATGGTGATAGCCCTCCTTCGTTTCTGATTTTGGTTATTTGTGTTTTTTTTTCCTTCCTTTCCTCATCAACCTTACTATAGGTTTATTTTATTGATCTTTCTGAAGAACCTGCTTTTGGCTACATTAAACATTTCTATTATTTTTCTGTTTTCTATTTCATCTATTTCTTTCCTTTATTATGTCCCTCCTTCTCCTTTTGGTTTTAATTTGCTCCTCCCCTCCCCCCCAGATTGTTAAAAGTTGAAAGCAGAAGTCAGCAAACTATAATCTAGGGGCCAAATCTAGCCTGCCACTTGTTCTTGAATGGCCCATGAACTAGGAATGATTATTGTATTTTTAAATGGTTGGAAAAAATCAACCATATCAAAGTATTATTTTGTGACATGTGGAAATTAAATGAAATTCAGATTTCAAGGTCCACCAATAAGGTTTTAGCGGAACACAGCTACACTTAGTTGCCTATATATTGTGTATGGCTACTTTTGTGCTAGAAGAGCAGAATCGAGGGGTTGAGACTGAGACCACATGGCATTCTCATGGCTTTGCACTGCTGTTTGGTGCACTGTAATCAGTGTTTCAAGTGCTGTGTGCATCACTGTGTTGTGACATTTTACTTTATTATCAGTGCATGCCCATCATGTAAAAACAAGAAAAAATGAAAAAAAGTAGACTTGGAATGTTATACTTTTAAAGCACAGTGGAGCGTGGATTATTGAATTATATGACAAAGCCCTGTGTTTATTACGCCGTAACACTATAGCTGTGTTAAAGAAATACAGTGTACACTGACATTACCAGACTAAGCACTCATCACAATATTCTCAGCTCACAGGAAAGTAACCGTCAGGAAAGTCAGAAAACTTAAAAAGGAATATCTTATTTCAGTAGAATTTTTTCACAAAATTAAAAAATGAAAATGATGCCGTACCCAGAGTAAATTTTCAAGTGGCTCATTTGTGAGCCGAGCGTGGAAATCGTTTACCAATGGTGGGTTAACCAAATTGTGTTTGATTGTAGCAGGCACAGAATTGTGTCTGGAGAAAGTAAACTTGTTTAAGACTGTGAGCCTTTTGGCAAGAACAGTTGTTCGAAGAGTTGACAACATCAATAATCAATTAAAAAACAAGGCAAATGATTTTGAGTGGTTTCCCTTGGTTCTTGATGAGTTGACAGATATTACCAATACTGCTCAGTTGTTTATTTGAGAAATCAATGCTGACTTTGAAGTTATTGAGGAATTAGTCTTAACGAATAACGTGTGTGGAATAACTACAGACAAAGATATTTTCAAAAAGTTAAGAAAACACTATTTCTCTACAACCTGAAGTGTAGTCTCCTAAGATGTGTTTCTGATGATGGTAAAGTCTGTGTAGAATGGAAAAAGCTCAGATGGACAAATTTATAAAGCTGTGAAAATTTAAGATGTTTAAATTCTGTGGTTATTCATTGTTTTATTTCTTAGGTATTCTGCAGAGACTGTTTGAATCTGTCATGTAATATGGAACCAATAGTGTCATATAACATTTGCCCTTGTTGACGTAACCATTGTCAGTTCCATGAATTTTTTTGTCAGAAATAAAAGCTGAACATCCTCACTTGCCTTGCTGTGCAGTAGTTTGATTGCTTAGTAGGTGGTAAGGTTTTATTGAAAACTTTGAGTGTAGGGCCGAGATTGAAATTTTTCTGAATGGGTTGAATGGCTTTAGAAATCAGTTTTTACTGCAGACTTGATAATGTTTCCTAATTAATTCAACCTAAAATTGCAAGACAAAATAGTACTGCTTATATCGAAACTAATACTGTGGTAAAGTTATTTTGATGGCAAGTAATGTTGTTTGAATCACAAGTAATATCAAGTCATTTTATGTAGCTTTCCATGCTGTCAAAATTAAAACAAAGAAATGAGGTTTCCATTCCTACCCAAAGTTTCAGTAGATATATATTTTTGAGCTCAAACTATAGTTTCAGCAGCATTTTTCAGACTTTGATGCAAGTACAAAGGAAATTTCCATATTATAAAATCCATTTAACTATGCATTTGTGGCATTTTTAATCGGAGTATTAATCTGCAATGTATTTATATGATATAAGGAAAATACTAAAAGGAGCAAATTCTTTAAATGCCTTCCAAACAATGAATATGCTTGAAATCATATGCTTACGATTTGATATTGTTATGTGGCAATATCTAACTGGTACTTTTTGAAAAAAGACATTTTCAAAGATGAAAAATGTAAAATCTTATTAAAAATTAGCACTAATACCATAGGAACATTTGTAGTGGACTGTGATGATAGAGGACACTAACTTTGAATCCCAACTAAAAAAATATACCCCCCAAAAGAGTTCCATTCTTCTCATTAGTAGACCATGTTACAGAAAGTTGTACTCTGTTGTTATTACTATATTTTGAATTTCATTAATAAAGATAATGGAAATTTTTGTCTCATTGTATATGTACTTACATAATATCCTCTATTTTGCTTGTCAGCCCTCAAAGTCTAAAGTGCTTACTGTCTGGTCCTTTACAGGAAAAGATGGTTTTTATCCTTCATAGTTGTATACCTGTACTTATTAGCAGAATTAATGTTTTTGAGTTATAGTGACTTTAATTATAAATTTTTTCTACCTCATCCCTCCTTCCTCCACAGTGACTTTAAAAGGAAATAATTTATGGAGCAGCTTTGTTTCCACTGAATTTATTAATTGCAGCTTATGCATTGTAATAAGAACTTACTGTTTTATGTTAATGTTCTGAATTTAAAGAAGAGACTTTCCATAGTGTCCTGCATTCTGTGGGTAGATCTACTAGACATTAAAATTTGTAATGGTGTAAAAGTAGTATACTATTTGCTGCAGTGTGATTCTCAAGTAACATAACTCTACCTTTAAGGAACTGGATGGAATAAGGGGCAAATAATATGCCAAAATGCGTAAAGCAATAGCTTTATTTTCAAGAACATGCTGAAGTCAGTTGAAATGCTTAGGACTAGTCATGTTTAATTTTAAGAAAGAATTTTTAAGCTCCTCAAGAACAGATAAGATACTGAGAGAGAGGAAGAGTCAAGCTCCCAAACCAAAGTTTAATTCCCTCAGGAAGGCATAGAGAAGTATTTTGATTTTCTCTACTATGTGTAGTCATTGGTTTCCTGTTCCAGGAAATAAGAGTAGGGCAATTTAGATTCTTTTCCAGGATATCATTCTTCTATATCTCTGGACTCCTATCCTTTGTAGTCTTGGGAGGAAAGTATCTTTGCATGGAAGTGTTGGATGATTCTAGGAGACTTTTGGAAGCTTGGAAGAAAAGCCAGAGTTACTAGACTGCAGGGCTTTGGTGGAAACCAGAGGTTTAGAGGATAGTCTAACTTATACCTTATAGAAAGGAAAAGATTAATGATAGTTATTTACGCAACCAAAAAGCTGTAGAGAATGACAGGATCATAGAAGATTGCACATTGAAGAGCAAAAAGGGTTCAGATAGTTCATAGTTTTTTGTGTATGGGGCAATTAAATGCATATAAACAATGCATGTACAGCCATAGGCTGGCTGTTCCTTTAAAATGTGTTCCTTAAGTATAACTTTTTATTTTTGGGGCCAGAAAGTTTTAGTGAGAACTAATTTCTACAGTTTTAACTAATGTTAGTGGAAATATAACGTATTTATGTGATATTTGTATATTTATTTCTTTGTTAAGAATAAACTGAATAAAACAAGGCTATCTTTGCTATGATTGCAGCTTGTGGTTATTATAAATGAACAAGGAAAACTAGTGTCCAATTTATATACCTGTAAATAAATCAATAGTTCAGAGCTCTGTAACTTCTCTCCCTGTTATCTCCTTTGGTATTCTATTGTGATCATCTTTGTACTTCCCAAATTGGAAACTTTGTTCAGTATTATAAGCCTGTGGTTTCCCAGCCCCAGGTGGAAGACTGGTTCTGGTCCGAAGACTGGTTCTGTTCTGTGGCCTGTTAGACTGGCGGCACAGCAGGGGGTGAGCGGTGGGCCAGGGAGCCAAGCTTCATTTGTATTTACAACCACTCCCGATCGCTCATATCACCACATGAGCTCCTCCTCCTGTCAGATCATCAGCCGCATTAGATTCTCTTAGGGGCGCTAACCCTACTGTAAACTGCGCATGTGAGGGATCTCAGTTGCACCCTCCTTATGAGAATCTAATGCCTGATGATCTGAGGTGGAGCTCAGGCAGTGATGCTAGCTCTGGGGACTGGCTGCAAATACAGATTATCATTAGCAGAGAGGTTTGACTGCACAGTAAATGTTATGTGCTTGAATCATCCTGAAACCACTCCTGCTCCCCCCACTCCCAGTCCATGCAAAAATTGTCTTCCATGAAACTGGTCCCTGGTGCCAAAAATGTTGGGACCACTGTTATAAGATGTATTCAGATAACCTTGAATGAAAGGTAACTACTTTGACTTTCAAAGTAGTTTTAAGCAGATATTTTAAAGAATAATAAAAAATGTTTTAAAGTTGGTGCTGAACACTTAAAGTTGTTATATTTTATGTTTAGGTCTCTGAAACAAGATGAATTTGGCTGAGATTTGTGACAATGCAAAGAAAGGAAGAGAATATGCACTTCTTGGAAATTATGACTCATCAATGGTTTATTACCAGGGGGTGATACAGCAGATTCAGAGACATTGCCAGTCTGTCAGAGACCCAGCTATCAAAGGCAAATGGCAACAGGTAAGATCACATTAAAGTATTCAGTGAGTGAGGGTGGCAGTAGCCTGTTACACTTGAGAGATTACTGTTGGAGAATTAGTTTGAGATATTATAAATAGTTCTTATTTTTCTGAATGCTGAAATATATTTAAAATGTACTTTGAATAATTTTTAATGTCTTGCCTTTGTTTTATTTATTATCATATATTTCATGAGGTATATTTTGAAGAAATTTAATTCTAATTGAATCTACTTTTAATTTTTTTTCCAATCAGTTACTTAATTGTGTGTGACTACAGATTTTCAAAATAAGGTATTTCTACTTGCCCTTTTCCCTTTCATTTTTACATGTAGTTTTGACCCATTTCATAAAACTTTTTCTCAAGAAAGTTTCCTCATCTTTGGAAGGACTCCTTACGAATAAAAATGAGTCAGTAATCTAATAAAAGATTAATATATTTGCTGTCTTTTCATTATACAACTTGATTCTTTAATAGTACAGATAATAAAAACTTGAATTATAATTTTCCCACTTAACTTTTTAAATTTAATTTAATACTTTAATTGATCAATATCTTTTAACATAGTTCTTGTTTTTTGGTGGTGCCCTAATTCCAAATTCATTGTAACTTTAAAAAAAGAAATTTTTTTTTTTTTGAGACAGGCCACTCTGTTGCCCTGGCATCAGCCTAGCTCACAGCAACCTCAAACTCCTGGGCTTAAGCGAACCTCCTGCCTCAGCCTCCCGAGTAGCTGGGACTACAGGCATGTGCCACCATGCCCAGCTAATTTTTTCTATATAGTTTTAGTTGTCCAGCTAATTTCTTTCTATTTTTAGTAGAGACGGGGTCTTGCTCTTGCTCAGGCTGGTCTCTAACTCCTGACCTCGAGTGATCCTCCCGCCTCAGCCTCCCAGAGTGCTGGGATTACAGGCGTGAGCCACCACGCCCGGCCAAAAAATTTTTTTTAACAAGTAATACTTACAAGCAATATATCTTTCTTTAAGAAAATGAATAAATAGAACCATCCATCTTCAATAAAGTTTAGTTAAACAAAATTGGCTTTTGTTTTTATATGGGCTTATTAAGTTTGTATTTTTCACCTGTTATACTAAAACAATATACCATACTTTTTAAAAAACTTTAAGTCAAAACATGGAACACTTCATAAGTTTGTGTGCCATCCTTGTGCAGGGGCCATGCTAATCTTCTCTGTATTGTTCCAGTTTTACTAAATGTGCTGCCAAAACAGGCACTCTCCACTTAGTGTTAAAACTTAAAATCTTTTTAAAATTAAAAGTACAAAGTCAAGCATTTCTTTGAAGTTTCCATTTTATGTACTAATGCCTTTCAAGTGTTTCTTCTAATTTTTCCACTAGTTAGAAATTGATGTTTTACTAAGTTTTGAGAGTAAATTTGGCTTATTTTCCGATTTAAGCATTACCAAATTATGAGGAGTGAAAACAACATACGTGGTGTAATGCAGGCTGAAATTTTAGTTGTTTTCTTCTACCCTTCCTACAGCCACAGGCAAGTTAGTTTGTTAATCTATTATGGAAATATTTTTGACGTGTTCTTGATTGTATATGTTAAATAGTGACCATTTCTCTTCAGATAGTTCTACTATGTTCTTTACATTGGGTTCTGAAATTTCATTTCTCCCAGTATGGCATATTATATAATTGTATGTATTAGCAGTTGAATTTTACCTACATTTTTCTTTGGTTCTGTAATTCCTTCATATGTTCCTTTTAATATAGTATTCAAGATAAAGGTGAGGGAAAGTTTTTATGCTTTGCTTTACAGTAAAATGCTTTCTGGTTAAAAAAAATTAGAATTGTTAAAATGGATTTATAAATGTAATTTTCAATCTTTATCGGTTTGCTTTTGAAAACTTTTTGAGCTCAGAGTTTGAAAACACAAGAATTCCCTCACAGTAGGTGCTCAGTTAAATTTTTTAAGTATAGGAAAAAATCTTGCTTTTGAACTCAAAATAAACTTTACACAGGACTTGAAAGAATTTAAATAAGGTCAAAAGAATTCAGATTTTAGGTGAAGGAGAATTTAAATAAAAATTGAAAGTGTATAATTCATACTGTTCTACTGTTTTTGGCTTTTAGACACTCGTGACAGGCATTTTATATTTAGTGATATTGGGGATAGGAAATGCTGGTGAAAATTTGGCTGCCAAGTTTTTGGAATCTATTTATAAATGTATTAAAAGAATTTAGCGTAACATTTTAGATTTCTGGAAATGGTTAACTTGTTACCAACTTAGTTGCTTGTTTTAAATTGTATTAATGATCATCACATTTTTTGGTAGAAATAGAGTTCCATTATGAAAGATATATAACTACTTCCCTTATTAAAAGATGTATATAATTATCTTTTTTCAAACTCATTTCTGCCCTTCTATCTTACTTTAAGTAGTTCTTTGTGTTTTTGAATATGTTTTAATGATTCATTTTTGCATACTTTGGATGGCATTAAGAAAACTTGCATTCTGTAGCAATTGATTATTTACAGTTTATAAAATCTTTAAACAGTTTCTAGAGTAAAAGCTAATTTTTTTTTAAGGTTCGTCAGGAATTGTTGGAAGAATATGAACAAGTTAAAAGTATTGTCAGCACTTTAGAAAGTTTTAAAATCGACAAGCCCCCAGATTTCCCTGTGTCCTGTCAAGATGAACCATTTAGAGATCCTGCTGTTTGGCCACCACCTGTTCCTGCAGAACACAGGTAAATGGGACTTTACATTCTTTTTAGGTGCTTCTAGTTTATTGATATTCAGAATGAAGCTTGATTTGAATAAAGTATGAAAAAGCATTTTTGAGGGCATGTAAATTTAATATGTTTTAAATTTTCACGCTTCTAAGTTTAGTTTGTATTTGATAAAAAAAATCAAAACTAAATCACTTGTCCTATATCTTGCTTTTCAAATGCTTTATTACTATAATAATAATAGAAGTCTGCTAGTCCTAAAATTTGTCAGTTAAGAGAGATCTTTTAGGTTTCATAATATCAGCATCAAAACTTAAGATAGTTTTGCTTTTTTTTTTTTTTGCTTAAAGAGACTCTTAACAACTTCAAGTGAAATTGGATTTATCTGGTTGGGCCTATAGCCAATTTCCAGAGTCTTAGTGTAGTAGGAACCTTACCAATAATGTTTGAGTGGCTTATTTCTTAAAGGTCAGATTTCCTAATGTGGCATGTAAGGCTCTAAGTTTATCTCCCACCAGTTTTCTCTGACATCCAGCATGTGCGTCATCTATATTAAACATCTCCTTTTTTGCCTTGTCCTCTTCTCTGTGCACGCTCTGTTCTTCAGGGAATATCCGTAATCTCCATCTCTAACTAAACAACTCATGTTCATTCTACAAGTTTCAGCTTCAATGACTCTCCCCTCTGCAGCCTTTTTGATTTGTCTAGGTATAGCTGTTTGTTTATAGTAGTTACCATGTTGCATTTATTTGTCTCTTCACAAGATTAGGAGAGTTGCAGGGACAAAGGACATGGTTTTATTTACTTAAAACAAAAATCAAATAACAAATTACCATTGTTAACACAGGGTTTGACACATAGTAGGCATTCAACCAACACTGAATGAATAACTCCATTAATTTCACAAGTGAGGAAACTGAAGCCTGGGAGACCCTGAGTTGTAAGTTAGTCTAGACCAGGATGTGAGTTTAGGTCTTTCTGGCTTGTCTGTCCACTTTATTGTGAAAGTGATAATGTGGCCAGAGTGTTGGACCATAGAAAATAAGTTTTTCCTTTGGTCAATGGCTATGATCATCTGTTTAACTTACTGATTTCTTGAAATTTTCTAAAAACGTTTTAAGAATTGTGGAAAGTGGTTAATTTATTCCTTCAGGATTTTTTCCATGAGTTACAGATAATTTTGTGATTTTCATTGCAAAAACAGTAGATAAGGATTTTTTTAAAGGTTTACAACAATTTTTTTCTTCTGATGTAACCACCTTCAGATGTTTTTGGATTAAGGTGACTCTTATTCCTCAAAAGGTAGTGTTTAAAGAGTTGTAGGATTGTTATCATGGAAGTTCCAAAGTAAAGACTGAAGAAAATAATGGCATCGTGATCTATCAGAACTTGAAATTTTTCTGTATTTGTATATAATGGATACTTTGTTTTTTACTGAAAGTTATTAATTCTGAAATATACTCTATTTTAAAGCTAAAAGCTGACAATAACTTTAAATATAGGAATATATGTTCAGAATTGCTAGAGCACCATGATTCATTTCTTTTTTTGTTTTTTTTTGAGACAGAGTCTTGCTCTGTTGCCTGGGCTAGAGTGCCGTGGCATCAGCCTAGCTCACAGCAACCTCAAACTCCTGGGCTCAAGCGATCCTTCTGCCTCAACCTCCCAAGTAGCGGGGACTACAGGCATGTGCCACCATGCCCGGCTAATTTTTTATCTATGTATTTTTAGTTGTCCAGATCATTTCTTTCTATTTTTTTAGTAGAGACGGGGTCTTGCTCTTGCTGAGGCTGGTCTCGAACTCCTGACCTTGAGAGATCCACCCGCTTTGGCCTCCCAGAGTGCTAGGATTACAGGCGTGAGCCACCTCGCCTGGCCATGATTCATTTCTAAAAGCAGCATCCACAGTTAATAGCTCTAATATTCATGGCTCAAACTGAATAAAAAATTGTGGATGGCATTTTCCCATCGATGAATATTAACCTGAAAACTTTTCTTTAGAATAACAGTAGGACAGTTTTCTTTGTCCTATCTTAACTGTTCATAACATAGATCTAATTTAATTTTATACTTGTTTTTAAATCCTTTTTCTTAATGAAAGTGAAAGATGAATGTATCAGAATGTATTTCTTTGAGCCTCCTTTCTCTGTGTTAAATTTTTTAAAAAGTTTCCCTTGTGTATAGCCATCGTATGTATGTTTTTTTGTCCCTTTGTGGATCAGAAACCCTTAATCAAAGCAAATGTAAGACTGTATATTGCCTAGAAAAAAAAAAGATTCCCATTCCCATGTATATCATCAACAACAATAGGAAAACACCTAACAACTCCACAGGGTTTTTTTTTTTTTTTTGGATACAGAGTCTCACTCTGTCACCTGGGCTAGAGTGCCATGGCATTAGCCTAGCTCACAGCAACCTCAAACGCCTGAGCTTAAATGATCCTCTTGCCTCAGCCTACCAAGTAGCTGGGATTACAGGTGCGCACTACCACATCTGGCTAATTTTTTCTATTTTTAGTAGAGGTGGGGTCTTCATCTTGCTCAGGCTGGTCTTGAATTCCTGACCTCAAGCGATCCTCCCACCTTGGCCTCCTAGAGTGCTAAGATTGTAGGCATGAGCCACTGCACCTGGCCCACAAGGTTTTATCAGAGAAGGAATTATGTTTAATACTTTGAATAGTAGCATGGGATCAGTAATTTTAAACTTTATGAATAAAATCTTTAAGCACAACAGCAGGTCCTTCATCAATTAACAATGTAAGGCAAATGTTAATGAAGTAAACCTTACACTGGTTCATAGCACAGAATGTGTACAGGGCTAAAAAATAAGTAAATATTCAGATTGTAAGTTTAGAGTTAAAAGTTGTTGGAAATTGGAATTGTATAATATTTTTCTCCTTTAATAAACTTTATTTCGTCTCCAAATCATGTAAAACAAACATAATAAAATTTTCACCTAGAGATAGTGAATAGTGGATATAGTCCTTGGATATTCTTGGTTTAATGGAAAGATATTTGACTTAGTCTGTGAGTTCTTGAATTCTGCTTCTGAACACCTACTTGCTTTATGACCTTGAGCAAGTTATTTAACTTCTCTAAACATTAGTTTCACTATCTCTAAAATGGAGGCCAGGCGCGGTGGCTCACGCCTATAATCCTAGCACTCTGGGAGGCAGAGGCGGGAGGATCGCTTGAGGTCAGGAGTTCGAGACCAGCCTGAGCAAGAGCGAGACACTGTCTCTACTGAAAATAGGTAGAAAAAATTAGCCGGACGTGGTGGCACATGCCTGTAGTCCCAGCTACCCGGGAGGCTGAGGCAGTAGGATTGCTTGAGGTTGCTGTGAGCTAGGTTGACACCATGGCACTCAAGCATGGACAACAGAGTGAGACTGTGTCTCAAAAAAAAATAAATAAAATAAAAGGAGATCTTTACCTCATGGAATTAGAATAAGAACATTTAATGTCTAAGACAGTAACTGGCATGTAATAATTAAAATTAATGGTCAACTATGAAATAAAGTACTAAATATTCTTTCAGATAAATATCAAGAGAATAACAGAATTAAAGAACGATAGCCTCATTTATAAAACTTCTCAAGTAATTTTATTTTCTCCCTGCAAACTCTATATAATTCCTTAGTTTTCTGAAACATTTTGAGTAATCGTGGCAGAGAGGATATGGCTTTTTAAATGTCCCAGTCTTATGAAGTTGGTGATTATTTTCAGGGAAAGAATGATAGTTAATAATTGTTAGTCACTTACTTTATGTTTTATAAGCAGTATCTTATTTAAACCTCCAGTGATCTCATGAAGTAGGTACTGTTACTGTGTACCTATGTTGTCGTTATGAACCCCATTTACAGCTGAGGAAATTGAGGCTTATGGAGTTTATTATTTTTCCAAAATCATCTAAACAAGAAAGTGGCAGAGGCAGAATTTGAACCCAAGTTTCCTCAACTTCAGGAGTCTTAATTATATCTACTCTTCTGTATCACTTTTGCCCACCATACTCAGTGGTATCTGTGGGTATATTTTGATATACATCTATATATACTAATATTGTGAAATTCTTATTAGTGGTAGGAGAATAAAGAAACTGAAAATGCTTAATGAAATAAATATTGATATTTTAAGCATAATTTAAAAAATTTGCTATGGGAGCATCACACTGAATCACTTCATTAACTTTTAAGACAAAACTTACTTCTTCAACCTATTGCAGCATACTAAGGTAATCTGTATTCCATGGTTTTCCACCAGTGGTTTTGCCACGTTGCTTGAAGTTTTACCTTCTGTGTCAAGCATCTGCTGAGTTTAATCAGTATCATGTTTTTGTTTTGTTTTGTTTTTCCTAAGAGATGAGGTTTCACTTTGTTGCCTAGGCTGGAGTGCAATGGTATGTGATCATGGCTCATTGCAGCCTCAAATTCCTAGGCTCAAACAATCCTCCCACCTCAGTCTCCAGAGTAGCTGGTACTACAGGTGCACCACCATGCCTGTCTAATTAAAAAAAATTTTTTTAGAGATGGGGTCTTACTATGTTTCCTAGGCTGGTTTTAAACTCCTGGCCTCAAGTGATCCTCCTGCCTCAGCCTCTCACGTTGCTGGAATTATAGGCGAGAGCCACTGCACCTGGCCCATGACCGTGTTTTAAATTACCAGCAGTTGCTTGGATAAATCAACACAATTTTTTAAAGAGATTATATTCATTGCCTTAAATGTGAGGAAATTGAACTACAAAAGTAGGATTATGATGGGAAGGAATGGCAATATTAGAATTAAAATCCAAAGAGATAGAGGCTGCAGATTGTTCTTAGTGTCCTAAGTTAAAAGATTTCTTGTATTAATGAAATAATTTTATAATATTTTATTTGTAGGCTTATTAAGTACATTCTCTTTAATGAGTTGGTCTCTTCCAGTGAGACCTGTAGCCATGAAACTAAGATTTTCTATATTGGAGCAGTATTTGGCATAGCGTATATTTAATAAACTATTCTTTATTCAGCTTAAAAAATAAAT